AAAAAAAAAAAAAAATTGGGGGGGGTGCAGTGGCTCACACCTATAATCCTAGCATTCGGGGAGGCTGAGGCAGGTGGATCACCTGATCTCACAGGTTTGAGACCAGCCTGAACCAGAGTGAGACCTTGTCTCTAAAAATAGCCAGGCATTGTGGCGGGCACCTGTAGTTCTAGCTACTTGGGAGGCTGAGGCAAAAGAATCACTTGAACCCAAGAGTTCAAGGTTGCTGTGAGCTATGATGCAACAGCACTCTACCAAGGGCGACAAAATGAAACTGTCTCAAAAACAAACAAACAAAAAAACAACAACAGGAAATTGGGGGAAGCCTACTGTGTGCCAGGCCCTGCTCTTGGTACAAGGAATGTGGAGCCAAACAAGACACTAAAAATCGGGCTATATCATGGTGTGGTAAAGACTAAGTATTAAAGCCAAGTGAAAGAATGGAGTGACAAGGTCAAGAAAAGCCTTAATAAGTCAGGTGACATTGGGCAAAAATCTGGAGATATTCAGGGCAGAGAGATTAGCTAGTGCAAGGGACGTCCAGGCTCTAGTTCCTCAGTCTCCTCAGAGTTCTCTGCCAGAAGGTGACTGACTGTATCAGGAGGACTGGCCCCAAGCCTGCAGCCCTCTCCCCACTTCACCCCCCCCCCATATCAGGAGGTGCCCTACCTGCCTGTGGATATTCCAGTCAGCACCCAGGGCTCTACACACATGCCTCAAAGCCACCCCTAGACTCTTTGTCTTCAGGAGGATGGACTACCCCAAGATGTCTAGTGGACACTGCTATTGTCCATGTGGATGCCTCCTCCCACTCGTGAGGAGAGGCATAGACTGAGTAGGGCTAAGTCTAAAACGCAGGGGCCCCTCTGCCCTACTCTAAGGGACTGCCACCACTCCCTAGAAACTGTCACACAGACAAGCACAGAGCTGCTTCAGATCGTGTTTATTGTGGGGCTAAGGGGTGGGGACCTTGGGGTCAGAGGGCAGCCACAGAGGCTGGCCACTGGGGTAAGCTGCTCTGGAAGTACTGGCGAGGAGCAGCCTGAATGGTGGGGTGGCACACGGAGGGGGCGGGGAGCTCCCGGGTCCCAGAGCGTGTCGAATCCGGGAGGCGCTCAAGGAGGCAGGAGGCGGCGCACGGGTGCCTGGGGAGCTGGGGTCTCCAGACGTTTCACGCGTAGCAGAGCCCCCAGCACACCCTCAGAGGGCACCTCAGGGTCCACGTCCTGGTCGGCTGCACGGCGGAGGCGGCGCGGGGCGGCCACAGCCTCGGAGTCTGCGTTTCCTGCAAGAATCCGCCCCAGCAAGTACCTGAAAGATCAAGCCAAACGCAGTGAGGATGAGTCGGAGAATTACCGCCCGCCCAGGGACCAGGACTGCACGACCCTGCAATCCCATACATACAGCCTGGGAACTAGGCGTATTCAGCTCCTTCCCCACTCAAGTGTCCCCAGGCCACTACTTTCAAGAGACAGACGTCCCTGCAACACATTCCAGAAACTCTGATTTCCCTAGTCCTCTACCCTCAGAAACCGCATAGCACACACCCCTCCCCAAGACCTGGAGTCCCAACTGTGCCATCAGACAGGCATCTTTGCTCCGACCCACTGGATCCAGGATCTGCCGTCCTCCTAGGGCTCCAGAACCCCTGCCTCTCTCCAGGACTTAGGGTTCACCCCTACACCTGTGAAGCGGGTTCCCCAGTTCCCAGCCTTCATCCTCCCAGGGTAGAGGTGCCCGCTCCCTTCCTGCCCTTGCGAGGCACCTCAGCAGCTCCGGGTCCACGTCAGGGGTCTCGTCGCCAGTGTCCTCGGCATCCGGGCCCGGGGAGCCATCGTCGTAGATTGGGGGCCGGGATCGGAGAGCAGAGGCTGGGGCGGGCGCCGGGACAAGCTGGGCTGCAAGGGCTGCAGGGTCAAGACGCGCACGGAGCAGGGCACGGGCTAGCTGCGCAGCGGGTGCGTCTGGGTCGTCGTCCAGGCCCAGAGGTGGGTCCGAAGTGCGGGGGGTGCCCCAGATGCGCAGCAGCTGTGCCAGGACGCGCGCTTGCTGATCCTCAGCCTCCTGCGCCTCTGCCCGCGCCCGCTCCTGCCGTTCAGCCTCCAGCAGGTGCGCCAGCGCCCGCGCCAGCTCCTGCACAGCCCCCACCGCCTCTCCTCTAGGCACTGCCCGTCGGAAGCGGCGGGGAGCCGCAGCCTCAGCCATGGGTGGGGACGCAGCGGTCAGACCGCGGGGCTCCTGCGGGAAGATGAGGTGGGAGAAAAGAAGTCCTCAGCGTCCATCAGGCCTGGGACACACACCCCCAGCCATGATGCCACCAAAGGCACCATAGCCCCCCACATATACCCAGAAACCCCTAAGGCTACTGAGAAAAAACCCAGATATCTCTAGACACATTTAAGAACTACCACCGCACCCCCGGTTATGCCTTAGTGACTCTTAGAACTTTCCCCGGAGCCCGTAGCTCAGTGTGTTAGGGCGCCGGCCACGTACACTGAGTTCGAACCGACCATGCCTGCTAAACAAGGACAAATACAACAAAAAAATAGCCGGGCGTTGTGGCGGGTGCCTATAGTCCCAGCTCCTTGGGTGGCTGAGGCAAGAGAATCGCTTAAGCCCAAGAGTTTGA